TTTCTCTCTGCGTAAAACAGTTCAATATTTAAAAATAAAATTCATGTATTTTCATTCTGTCAAGTAGCTATTGATAATAATGTATCGTGAAATTTATGAAGTGGAACAATTTATGAATATCGTAAAAGTGATGAAGTGATGAAGATTGATAGATATGAGAAAATGAAAGAAAATACTGTTTATTTCATACTGAGCAAAGAGTAGATATTTCTACATATTAATAAAAGGAATTCATTTTTCTTATGTTTTTCGATGTTAAACATTCTCGATATTAAATATTCTCTTTTTTGGGTGTTACTGACACAAATGTCTTCCTTGAACTGGCAGTGAGAATGTTCTTCTGCGTGAAGGGTAATAAAACAATTAAGATTGGTCCGAGAAAGGGCGAGGAAAGATATCTGTATTCTTATCTTTTAATGACCCCTGTACGTTCTTAGATCTATTTCCATTTTTCGTATTGTTGTTTGTCAGCATGCGTATATATACGCATATTCGCTTTCCATAGATATATAATGTCTTATTATAAGGAATTAGTATACACATATATACACACATACATGCATACACACACACACACGCACATACACACACTTCCTATGTTGTGAAGGGTTTGCGTGCGTGCCCGTGAGCAGTCTTGTTTTTGCCAATATGTGCATATATATATATATATATATATCAGTATGCGTATGCATATGCGTATTCCCTCTTCATACATACATACATACTGTTTTATTATAGGGAATTAGTATGCAAACATATATACACATACATGCATGCACACACAAACACCTATATATATATATATAAATGTCGTTTTGGGGTTTTCACATACACATACACACATTTTTTCTTTGCATTTCTACGTTTTTATTTTTCAGTAGGTTTTTTTAGTATACCCTTTTCGCGCGTACCTGTGAGCAGTCTATTGTTTTTGCCAATATGCGTATACATATTCGTGCTCCACAGATACTCGCGTGTGAGTGTGTGCACATGTATGCTAGTTGTTTGACCACTGTATTTGACCATTACGTGTGCATAGTGTGTGTTTTTGCGTGGTGGGGTATGATCTATTTAGTGCTGGTTTAAATTTGTTTATGAAGTTTTTTTCTTGTATTTGTAGGTAAGAATAATCGTCTGTTTGATATATTGACATAATTTTAAATTCACTCTGGTTACATTTATAGATGTGTTGTGATATAAAGAGTTTTCTGTTGTCTGGTCATTTTATGTTGCTTTTGTGTAGGGAAACCCTGTTGTTTAGTTGTTGGCTGATAACTATATATGACTTCCTGCATTTTGTGCATTTGAGTGCATAAATCCTATTTTTGGAGTTGCAGTTTAAATTTTATTTATTATGAATGTCGTTTTTGGGGTTTTCAAGAGTATAGGATATATTTATTTGTTTCCTTCTATAATGATGTCAATTGAAACACCAAACACCATTTTTTTATATATGTGGGTTTCTTTGCATTTTGTGACTAATTTATATATGAAGAATATATTGTGTGTTGGTTAAATTTGGATGAGGATTTTAATATGTTTCAGGTTTTTAGATTTCGTTGCGTTTCCTTTTAATTATTTTGTAACAATGCTCCCCCTAGTTGTTTTTAGTATATTTTCAACAGGAAACACAGAATGTGTTTGAAACAAAATGGTATCGATATTGTAATATATATATATATATATATATATATATATATATATATATATATATATATATATATATATAATATAATCATTTGTCCCCAAGCAAGTAAGTGAAAGAGAATGAAAAAAAACGTTAGTGAGGACAAAGGACAATAAAAGTACAGGATGCAGGAAGACAGAAGTTTGGATAGGCATTGGATTTAGACTTTTGAAAATTGTAGGTGTCATGGAGTAAGAAATCAGAAGGAAGTTCCACATACAAAAAAAGAAAATATTAGAATAGGACATACGGTTGCATCTAACAAGTTCAACAGGAGAATCGTGAGACGTAATTGGTCATCTATTAGCATGTTTATTAAATTCATGCAGTCGAGGCAATAAGAAGAGCTCATGCTATGAAAACTATTTGTAGAAAAGATCGCAGAAATTTTAATTTTCTTTCAGAATAAGACTTTTCTAAATCATACCATGCCAACACAAGAACTTTTATAATTTTATGAACTACAATGTCAGCGTTAATGTTCCTATTATGCGCATGAAGGAATCTTAGTTATAAAATTATAGAGCTTATTTAATTTTAAGAATTATAAACTGACATAATTAGAGGTCATCACATTCTCTTTATATAATGATGGTTCTGCTTATATGTCATAAATTCTCTAGAAATACATTTTTCTATTTCCACTTTTCCATAATACACTCAATCATTGACGGGTGCCATACAAGATTTATAACCACAAAAATGGCAGTCATGTGTTTTAGTTACTGCTCTATCCTTTGAAATAAAAAATAAAATATAATGTTGTCTGTTGGTATTCAGTCAACCTCATTCATGCCAAAAATTGTAGTTATGATCAGTTATTTTTTAATGTATCCAGTTGTATTCAATAAACATTATATTAAATAGAATTCCTTGTATAAAAAATTGCCATAACACACATCCTCCAAAACGAGTGCAAACATGTTCCTAATGTGCGTATATATATATATATATATATATATATATGACAAAATATACTTTTAAGGTATTTATGGGTTAAATAATATATGGGCATGTGGCTGAGTGGTTAGAACATTTACTTTCTGACTATGAAACCTGTCTTTGAATCTTACCAGGGGTCAATTTGTCAGGAAGAAGCCTAGGAAGGTGATCCCAGTATATGGCAGCTTGGAAACCACACCATGCACGGCTTGACCCAATCCTTGTGAATGAAATTGAATAGTTTGTTTGTTTTTGACGGTTGTGCTAGCACAAAGTCACAAGTCATCATGACTGAGTGTTTAAGTATACCGAACTTGTTCAGACCAGAACATGCATGCTCTCTCTCTCTCTCTCTCTCTCTCTCTCTCTCTCTCTCTCTCTCTCTCTCTCTCTCTGAAACTGTAACTAAGATCTACTCAACATAGTTGTAGTATAAACCACAGATGGGTTCTTAGCACGGATTGGCTAGCTGCTCCAGTAGATGTGTGAACAATTTGAAAATAAAAACTGGTAAGCTGAGTGAATTCCACCTGAGTTTGTTATAGTCATTTTAATACAAATACCCTTTCCATCCAGCTATGGGTTAAATAGCAAGGCAGATTGGCCTCTCTTAGACTTTGTGGCAACCAATCAAGGAGAAGGACAACTTTGAATTCAAACCTGAGTATAGCTGTTTGGAGACAGTCATACACTGTACACCATTTCTCTTATCAGGTCTTGCAAAATGTTTGACTAGTTCTATACAAGCCTTCACCCCAATAATCAAATTGTTTGGGTAGTCTGGCTGTTATTCCATAAAAGTAATTGATAGGCACTAATATGTCAAAAAATGATGAGGGCACACACTATATAATTAGAAGCCGAGAGAATATATTTTATTAAATAATCAAAGTTTTTCTTGAAGAATTTAAGAATAATAACTTTCAACTTACCACAGTATTTTTGAAATCTGTTTCCAGCTTACTTTCAAGTGGAAAGGACAAATCATTTAAAAGACTTTTCATCTAAAAAGAAAAAAAATTGTTATATATCTCAATAAATAAAAGGTGTATTTAGGCAGTAATAAATAAATTAAAAATTCTTAAAGAAACATTTGAGAGTGACTCAGTTCTACAATTTACTTATGAACTCAACATTAAGAATAGACTCCATTTCATGGATGTTAAAATAGATGCTAATAATGATTTTATCACTTCAATATATATAAAAAAATTCACATTTCCTTAATTATGAAAGCAAATATTGACACAGATATAAAATAGGTGTTATAAAAAACAGGATTTATCATGGAAAAAGGATTTCCTCTTTAGGTGCTTCTTGCGTGATCGTGTTTCAAATATTTTTTTCAAGGTTAATGACACTTATCACCTGATTTAAATTTTTTCTGACTTCATCCAATAAAATTATGTTAAGAAATATCAAAATAAAAAATACATTAGTCTAATAATAGAACAACATTATTTTCATTTTAAAAAATAATAAATAGCGTTCGAATATGTAAGTTAAGGATAATTGATAGACTATGACCAAGAATAAATGAAAAATATTTTTAAAAATATATGGCTTTATTTAAAGTAGTTAATGGAAATGTTTACCATCAAGCAGAATTAGGGCAATAAACAAACTTTGGACTTTTCAAACATAGATTTCCACAAAATAAATAAAATGTAAGTTAAAAATAATCACACAATTATATACGCAGACACACATACGCACATACACACACACACACATACACACACACACATATATATATATATATATATATATATATATATATAATAAAATTATTAAGAGGATTATAATTATGATTATCTCAAATCATAATTAATTCATCGATTCTAGAAGAAACCTCAACAGAATGCAGAAAGCACTAATATATTTAGTTGGATTGATGTGAGTTTGTGACACCGGGTTTCACACTCTCTATATATGATGATGATGATGATGATGGGTCAAAACATTGCGATCAACGACATTTGGTAAAAATTACAACTACTGTCAAAAAATGTAGGTTCGGAGTAGCAGTTAAATGATTTACTGCAAATTTCCTGAAACAAAATCCAGAAGATATTTTTAGATTTTCCGTATTTTTTTAAGCAGACATTATTTCCTATTAACATAAAAGTTATATTTTTTAAATCAATTCACCCCAAGCAAGGCGATAATGGCACAAAGACGTAAGGGGCTATTGGAAACAAGGTATAAACCTCTATACATGTCCAAAAACCGGGAACTGGACGATAAAGTAAAATGTGCATGTAGGTTAACGTCTATTTGCTCGTATACAACTACACGCCCAAATGTATATTCCAATGAAGAATTGTTTTTTTGTTCCATTCGAAAGTTTTCTGTAGACGAACACACACACATACAGATAGATAGATAGATAGATAGATAGATAGATAGATAGATAGATAGATAGATAGATAGATAGATAGATAGATAGATGCACAAATAGAATTGTGAATGTAATTTCTTATAAAATGCTCAAAAAATTCTACAAATAAATTGTTTCTGTTCTCATCAGTTTATTTCGAATTTTAGTTGGTTTTTTTTTTGTCTGAATCAATTTTTCTGTTTCTTGGTGATTATCAGAGATCATTATTTTTCATAATGTCAGACTTTTACAAAAATAGAATTCTATGTATCTGTATGCTTATTTCCATGCTTTATAATGTAGATATTGAATGTCTGATAGAATTCTGTAGCTGTTGAGTATGTGTATGTGTGTGTGGCTTGTGATTAAAATATTTTGTTCTTGCAGCAAACATATACAGATGGCATTTTTTCTTCTGATATTTATTTTTCCTTTTGTTAAATTATAGTGAAATAAATTTAACGAAAAATAGTTTTAAAGGAATTTTTAAAAAATGATTTTTATCTAATATAATTTTAGATATCTTAAACAGCTAATAAATGTAATAAAAACATTTTAGTACTTTTGAATAATTTATCATAAGATCTACTTAAGACGGATTTGCTTTTGTTTATTATTTAATGAAAAACTCAAAACACTTATATAAAAAAGAAATAATATTTGGTTTACTATCTACAAAGAATAACCAGTTCGATACAAATTTTATTGTAAAAATATGAGTCTTATTTGGCTGAGAGAAACGCTGGCCAAACGTCTATTGTTCAATTTGAAAACGGAGAAATCTGAACATTGCACACAAACGCACACACGTACACACACGCACACGTACACTGAGGAGGAGGATGCACGTTCGTTTTTCCCTACTGTCTACAACGGAAGTGTACCCTATTGGCAACAAACTAGGTCTTCCATTATCTGTTTGGCGAACATCCGGATACTCCTGGTGGGACTTTACGCCGACCACAAGGATTAAAGCCTCAATGTGTTTACATCTAATTCGATAAGTCAATAGTGGCTCACATTTGCAATAGTACCGCATACCAGAGTTGGAAACCATACAGTGAAAATGATCGAAGCAAAGTCAATGTTTATGCTCCTTCTATCAGCTTAACGCGATACAGTACAAAAGTTGTCTGTGCCTGGGGCTTCGATTTGTGCAAATGATATGTTTCCTGGCCAAAAATGTGACACAGTGATGTTTGCCGCTGTTGCTTATAACGCACATACATGTTGATTTAGAAAAAGAAAAAGGCTAAACATATAGACAGGGAATCGAGATATTATTTATTTTATTTTATTTGCATAGCTCTTTAAAAAGTAAATACAAGAAATTTTAATAACAAACTTACAATTTTGTTATTAAAAAATTACAAACGTAATTTAAGGAGAAAATATGATAATTCTCCGTTCCTATTTTTTATTATATATATATATATATATATATATATATATATATATATATATATATATATATAATTCTCAGTAGGTACATGTATTAGAGTTCCCATCCTTGTTTTTAATTTCTTAAACAGTGAAATTAATATCAGAGGGCCAGTGAATTGATTTCAACTGGCTTAGATCGACTTCTCGAGTCGATCTAAGCCAGTTGAAATCAATTCACTGTTTAAGAAAATAAGAGCAGAGACGTCAGTTCAAACACTGAGAATAAATTTTATAATGATTGGAATGTCAGATAAAAAACGAGAGAGAGAGAGAGAGAGAAAGCGAGAGAAAAAGAGAGGGGCGAATGTAATGGTGCTTGAAGAAAAAATATTTAAAATATTTAATTCATTTAGAATAAAAAAAATAACTGCAAATTATAAAATTACTGGATATATCAAAGTATAAGTTATTACTTAAAGTTCTGAGTTGTTAATTTCTGTTCAGTTCTCTATTTACCAAATAAATAAATCCTACAAAACAAAGCAGTATCAATTCCATCAAACACTCAAGTTCTGATGATCTAAATAGACATGACATGAACCATAAAGCAAATATTGCATTCTCTCAATGATAATATTGACAATAAGAGACTAAACATAACATTGAAAGGTCCATTTATTTACAGATATTTTGATGGAAAACAAAGACTACCACTTGGTATATATATTGCTATTTGTGCTTGAGTCATTTATTGAAAATATTATTTCCAAAATTTCTTTCCATAATGTTGTGGATAGACCTCAGGTGACTCTATGATACTATTAACAATTCCATGGTATGAGGTTAGTAATCAAATAGGAGTCATTCCCAGACTCTCAAAAACACAAGACCACGGTCTTCGGGTGGAGTAGGATTCAGTCGGGGTTCTGACTTTGGATAGAGACATGCCTTAGATAAGCACACAATAATTTTGACCAGTGGCACGGGTGGAAACGCTCTGGTTCCCCACAGTAAACTTGACCTTGCGTTACATCTCGTCTCAGTAAGGAGACTGGTAAATATTATTCGTATCGGAGTCAATCTTCACACTAACTATACAGGCGTTTCGGCAATAGCCTAAGTATTACGTATAGAGAGTACTTCAACAAATTATGTTATACCAAGAACTAGTGTGTGTTATAACAACCCTACAACAGAAAGTTATAATACATAAGTTCGTTGTGTTTTTAAGAAGAATTTCGAAGACAATATTTAAATATTGGTATATAGATTTATTCAACCGCATACGTGGTATTTTGTTCCATTACATTTTGTTACCTTTGAGGTAGCTTTAATTCATCTTCTCAGAATTTGGTATTTTTGGTTGATTAACTAGTCTAAGTAGTTTCTTCGGGCTTTCAGAGAATTGAAGTTCTTCCCATTATGAGAATTTTGTAGGGATCGAAATAGAGGTAAATTGAATGTGCGAGTTCAGGTGAGTACGGTGAATATAATAAGATATCCAAATCAAGTTGTATCAATTTCTACTGGGTCTACAAAGAGACGGCGGAAGATCTGATGGAAGACAACAATCTTCCAACTGGAAAATTCTGAACTCTTTTCATCCCTTGCTACATTTAATTAATTCAATTGGCAACAGTACTTGTCTGAACGGAACATCTTATTTTTCGGAAGGAGCACTTCCTATTCCACCAGACACACAACATTACTTTATTTAGATGTCGGTAGAGTTTAGATTGATTAACAGTGGCTCATTTTGCTTTCTGCATGCCCGTTTCCACTCCACATTGTTGTGAACAAGCATTCTTCATAGCATGGGATCATTCTTTTCCTAAAAATGATGGAGCAATTTTTTTCGTTTGAGGAGAAAATCACATATAGAAATGCATCCGATTAAATGTTTTTTTTTTCCGGTAAATTATGAAGCACCCAAACATCATAGCGATTCATGTACTGAAGTGTTTTCAAATGTCTTACTACACACATATGATTATCTCATGTGGACTGGTTATTTTGAATCTATGTTTTGATTTGATCATCCTCAACGGTACAACTCGGTCTTCCAGAGCAAAATTTCCATTTCTGAACCTAGCGAACTAATTACAAACAGAACCCTCAGTTATGTCAGCATCATTTTCTTGGTTATGAAGCATTTTCATTTTTCGAAAATAAAAGAGCATCAAATGTTAAAAATGCATTCCTATTTTCCTCCAATTTCACTTTTAAGGTAAAAACTTTTAAAATTCACAATCCACACATGAATCTTATAGAAAGTTGCGTTAAAATGTCAACTTTAAGAATATAAGCCTTAAATTACAGTTACGTGTGAAATTGAATCGTGTTAAAACGCTATCTATTGAAAAATTCAATGACCTCATATTCCAACCTAACATATATTTCCCTTACGGTAAATATAAAATTTTCACTTAATTTTTTGTTACAATGCCTATGATAATCGTATATTAAATTTACCTTCCTGACATCAACTGTTGTCCATTTGATATTTGGTAGAATCCCTTTTTATCTTCTACCAGATTTCATAGCCTAATTCTTTTATTTTTTCATATAAGTTATTATCTCTGATTTTTTCATTAAAAATACACCTTCACAATAAAAATAGAAAACCTGTATTTACCAAAGCTTGCATGACATTTCAAAATTTTATAACTAGGAATACAGACTTTTGAAATTGTATCACTTTCCTTCCTTATTTTCATCTTTGCCATGTATCAATAAATTTATATTTGATAATTACTTGTTTTTTAAAAAAATTTAAAAATTGACTTATGCACTAGTACATAAGTAATGTTTTTTTTATCTATTTTCTTTTATCATCATTTATTTCATTGAATTTAATGGTATTATTATCTTGAATATTTATTAGATGAAACATTGTTAACCATTATTAATTTATATATTTCTTTTATTTTAATTTCAATTGTTTTTTTATCTAGCTTCATTAGTAAGATGCATAGATTGGAAATAAGGTTTCAGTTAGATGCCTGAATAGTTGCAATAAAAAGCAATAAAATTAGAATTAAATATTAATCCAAAATTAGTAATGGTCCAAGAATGCCTGATGAAAATACATTGATAGAAAGCAAAAATGCACATGAAAGAAACTAGTTAAAATATCTATTTTATGAAGTTTTAGATCATAAATAAGAACACCATATAAAGGACGCCAAAAAGTATTGCATGGCTAATAAACATTCTTCCAATTTGACAATTAATGATGATATTGAGTGGTACAGGCAGAGTTTCCGGAATATAAAGAAAGTTTCAGTGTTTGTCTCTGACCAACCAACTCTTCAGATTGCAATTCTACACAATACTTATAGAATGTATTGCATTAACAAATTCACAATGAATATTTATCAATAAAACTTCAAAGTATCATAGTATGCTTTGTTAACTTTACCCATATTCTTCCTTCCTTTCCATCCGTTTGATATTTACCTTTGCCATGTAACTTTATAATTCGTGTTTTGGGCAACTCACAAGTTTGTTTTTTGTTTTGTCTTTAAACAGATTTTGTTTCCTGGACTAAATCATATGTACTATAAGCAAACTATAAACTTAATAATTGAGACGACTTGTGCTACTTTTGGAAAGGAAAATTTTTCCAGCGTTCTTTCCGTCCCTTGAAAAGTTGACAGATTTTCAATTTGATTATTTTCCGGAGACATTTTTACCGATTTCTTTTAACACTCACCAAAATGTATTTGTGTTATAAAATTCATTTTTACCTTCAACAAATCAAAATAAATTCACGATTAAAAATGATGGTCACGTTAAGAGAATTTGTCCTGATCAACTAAAAGTATACAATTGATTTTAATATCTGCTTGAAAATTCTGAAATCATTCAGTCAAATATTGTTGTCAGTTGTTTTATTGAAAATTCCCATTATAATAAAATATTAAAATAAAAAATAGATAAATTAAAAATAGTTATCTTAAAAATATTAGAAATTTTGCTTTCGTCTTAGTCGTTATTAGTCAAAATGGACTGTGATAAAGTGTAGATTATCAACTCGCAACATCTACAATAAATCCCAATGTTGCAGTTTCTCCCTCATTCTGCATGCATATGTGTGTGTGCGTATGTGTAAAAAAAAAACAATGAACAGAATCTGACTTGAATTCAGTTTTTGTGACCAATATATTATAATATATATTATCATGTTCACTCCGATGTCTGAACAACTATATCTCCCTGAACATTTCTAAAGATCGAAAAGAAAGCTGAATATTAAAAGAAAATAGTCATTCATTTTATAACATCGACCAATCATTTTGCTTTCCTTGAAAGAAATTTTTTCAGGCGTAATTATTCCAACACAGTCAGGATAGAAGTTAACAAATTGTTGGGACCAAGTTACTTTTGTTGGTAAAAAAAGTAGAAAATATATTTGAAATATTTAACGATTCATATAAAACCTATAAAATTCATTTTCTGAATATAAATAACTATTATACTATAATTGATGAATCATTTCTAAATAACCCAATGTGTAGATAAAAACAATCGACGTAAGAAATTATAGATTATTGATTTCACAAGAAATTTTCTAATCGATAAAAAATATAATCTTAAATTATAAAGTTTTAGCGTTGTGCAGTTCAGCTCAGAAAACAGGAAGAGAATATTTGTTGTCTTCGGTAGTATTCGGCAATATTCGTTAATATCTCGTTTTCGGTCTGTTATCCCATTTGACATTCCGCGGGAAGGATATCTCAGGATTGTGAGTAAAGGATTCCTTCGATGAATCAATCATTCTGATAATCAACACGTCAATCGATTCCCCCAAACATTTAATTCTTGTGATATACGAGAATTTTAA